GGTCTCAAAGGAATTCCCGGTTTATGAATTTTAGGTAAGCCATAAAAACGTGGACATAAGCCGTCACTACTGTATAACATTTTGTACGTAGAGTCACTAATTCTGCCAGCTTTTTTCAAATCAAGCGACATTTTGTTTAACTTTCTTTGAGTTTTACTGGTTGGATCAGAGTTTAAGACAGCATACGTACTCTTGTCATTGAGCAGAGACAAAGCTTTGTCGTGATATTGCTGTTTGTCCATAACCACAACACAATTACCCTTGTCAGCAGATAATACGAGCCTGTCCGGATCCTTTTTTGAGAGTTATAAGCGCATTGAAAACATCCTTTTGAATGTTTTTGGGAGGAGGTTTAGCACGTCTGAGTACGCTACTTACTTCTGCTCTTACCAAATGCCTACGATCGTCGTCGAGTTGAGAGATACTCTCCTCAACAGCGGCGACAATTTCGGCGGTCGGTATTTTGCGAGGAGCAATAGCAAACTTTAGACCCTTCTCTAAACCACTCCGTTCCAGCGCGGATAATTCCTTGGAGGAAAGGTTCATGACCCATTTATCTTTCAGAGATGAGCCTGAATTAACAGGAGACCTCTTACTGAGCAAGTGACGGAGTTTTCTGTCATGTTTCTCTCTCTGTTTGGTAAACGTCTGCAGTTCTTTCGAAATGCAAAACTCCTCGACCCAGGAAGTTTCGGAGTTGTTAATCAAAGCAGAGAGTTCACTGAGTGAACGAGAGAATAACGTACGTAACCGCAGTATGGAACTGTGACATTCATCTATTCGTAGCTTGAGAAAAGAAAAACCAGTACGGACCATGAGCTTGTATCCTTTAGCACTCCGTAAAGGAGGCCGAAATCTCAAACTCGATGGAAGCACATGGTTCTCTTTGCAACGGTGATTGAAATACAAATGACAGCGATACTTAGCAATGCGGACTCTGATGTTAGTGAGCCGGTTGACCCTTGTAACAACAGTTTGACCATACTTTTCTCGCAAATAAAATATATTAAAGTTCACACGGCAACCAGGTGGACAATCAGACATAGTTTGAAGCTACACTGGTTTGCAGATTTAATGAATGTAACCGAAGAAGTTACAGTTCATAGACCCAACGTTTCGACACTCCTGTCTAGTGCCTTCATCAGGGGTGATCTAAACGCTGCAACAAGAGGTCCTTTTATACGATCACTAATTAGCGGCCTTTTTTTCTGACGAGGTGTAAATAGGCGTCAGGAAGCAGACCGCCATCGTCACGATTTAAAGGAGCGTGGGCGGAGTTAATGTGCCAAGCCTCCAAACAAAGGCGCTGGTGGTAACGCCGATTAGTAGTGATAATTTTAGAATTATCCCACCCAATTGTATGGTTGGTTAGGCAAGTATGCTCCGATAAAGCTGAATTTTCCTTTTTGCAAAGAAAAACCGCTTTTTGGTGCTCTTTTAACCGTGTACCAAACTGGCGTTTGGTCTATCCGATGTATTCGTTATCACAGTCATTGCAAGTAATAGAATAAATGGCGTCGGTTCGTTGTTCTTTCGTGACAGGATCCTTAGGTTTGGCGAAAATATGCCCCAAAGTCAAACCTAAGGATCCTGTCACGAAAGAACAACGAACGCACGCCATTTTTTTCGCCAAACCTAAGGATCCTGTCACGAAAGAACAACGAACCGACGCCATTTATTCTATTCCTTGCAATGACTGTGATAACGAATACATCGGACAGACCAAACGCCAGTTTGGTACACGGTTAAAAGAGCACCAAAAAGCGGTTTTTCTTTGCAAAAAGGAAAATTCAGCTTTATCGGAGCATACTTGCCTAACCAACCATACAATTGGGTGGGATAATTCTAAAATTATCACTACTAATCGGCGTTACCACCAGCGCCTTTGTTTGGAGGCTTGGCACATTAACTCCGCCCACGCTCCTTTAAATCGTGACGATGGCGGTCTGCTTCCTGACGCCTATTTACACCTCGTCAGAAAAAAAGGCCGCTAATTAGTGATCGTATAAAAGGACCTCTTGTTGCAGCGTTTAGATCACCCCTGATGAAGGCGCTAGACAGGAGTGTCGAAACGTTGGGTCTATGAACTGTAACTTCTTCGGTTACATTCATTAAATCTGCAAACCAGTGTAGCTTCAAACTATGTCTGATTGTCCACCTGGTTGCCGTGTGAACTTTAATATATAATAATAATTATTTACCTCTGTCAGTGTCGGTAAAAGTGGTGGATATTCACTTCGCCACTTTTCGGCTCGGTAAATATCCACCACTATTCACATCCACTTCGGTGAATAATTATAAACTGTTGCTGAGTATTGTTAAAAGTATTTACTAGCTTTTACAGGCGGGCTAACACATAATCTTTTGATTGAAACTAGTAACTGAAGAGCAAAAAAAACAAACGATGCCTTTAGCGATAATGAATCATAAGAGAAGTCGGTCGTAGAAGTTTAACTTTCTCATAACAAAAAGCATTGATTAATTTTGAATATTCAATGCAAAGGAAATTCATAGAAAATTTACCTTTTCCCTCTCCCGATTCATTTGTCGTTTCCGATTCATTTGTCGTTTCCGATTTATTTGTCGTTTCCGATTCACTTGTCGATGTTGTTTTTGTTGTAGGCGGTGACGTTGTTGGTGTGGCAGTAGATACTGAATATTTCGCTTCAAATCCACGATCAACTGTTTGTCCAGGATGGAACATCACGAACATTTGGTTTCCAGACGAGAACCGAGGCTCCTCCAAAGGCGACCCCTGACAAAATCGTGAATCCGAAGAGCTTGTTGACCCGCCATCATAAAGCTCCACATAAGAACAATTATCCGAACAAGATTTATCTGAACACTCACTTAAGACAAAGTAAGTAAATGTAAAATTTACAATTTTTCCAGGCGGTGCGGTAATGATCCAGGTACAATTTCTGGACGCATTGTAGTTACTCTTTGGGTAGTTTGTGCTGCTTATTGTGCCGTTTCCTGAGAGACGAATTGCTTCCTTTGGACAAACTGTTGAAAGTTAAAAATATTCCACGTGAGTGTGAGATCGAGAATTTTCATGTATTTACGACGGAGAGAGGCTGAATATATGGTTGTTTCGAAGGAAATTCACATCGGCCAACGTGCATTAAGCTGCAAACGAAAGAAAATTTATGTAATGACTTAGGAAATATTAGACCGTCGTAATTTAAGAGGAGAAGGAAAATGTGTAGATCTGAAATAAATTTTCAAGGCTTTCAAGCAGCGAAGTCCAGCAGAATGAGTAGACACCATCACCGTGAGGCGCCCGATTTCTCAAATTTCGACACTATTCCAAACCAAACTGTGTCATTTTCCAAACTGGTTTCCAGACCCACCACTGGCTATGTTTCATTGTACTTCGCTTCACTGCTGCAGAAAAATCTTGGTAAAACTTACCTGTATTAGCTTGAATCGTGTAATTTTCTTTCTTCTGTAACCATATCGTTTATCAGAAGTTAAAAGGAAAAAAAAACCTTTTATACGCTCTCGTGGTTCCCTTGGTAAACAATAAAATGGATCTAAACTATTTTGGCCATTGATCAAAATCCATACCCTTTTGGAAAGAGGTTTACAAAAACATGGCCTACAGAAGAGAGTTGCCCCGAACAATAATATCAAGTTTAGAAAAGTGAACAACCAAGAATCGAGGAGAAAAGGTGGGAAGTGGGTAAAGCAACATGGCATAGATTCCCAGTATACCACCGCTTACATTGGCATATCAGAGATGTTTGCATTCAACAATCATTAAAAGAGCGAGCTTCCTCTCTAATTAACTTCAATAATAATAAGTGAATGGATGAGGTGGAGCACGATATCAATAATCATTATACTTTAGACTTACTACAAAAATTTGATTGGTTGAGAGCAGTTAATCGATATATAATGACGTGTGAAATTGACATAATAGGCTAATATCTGCAGTGGATATTGCATTAATCATGTCGAGTTCAAAGCTTGCCTAATTTATTAAACCCCTCGTCCGTGTAGTGAACTCAATATTTTGCCAACTCAAACAGAGGTGCCTCCTAAAATATGCAATTGTTGAACTCGTTTTTCGCATGATATCAGGAATAATCAAACCTCTTGCCTGTGTTATCTGCTTCAGCCTTCGGCTTCAGTAGATACTTCAGATCTCGGTTTTAATAATTTGTGTCATTATTTGGCAAAATTACATCTTCTTTCAGCGAAATCTTAGATCTATTTTTCTTCTTACTTGGAGGACTGTAGTTCAACAGCTTGTAAGTTGCTCCAAATCCGTCATAATCCATGTTTGTATCATCGGACACAAACACCACCCTCAAGCTTTCGTTCAGTGAATAAAATTTTACAGGACTAGCCCTTAGTGTACCACATAGTTTTCCAGGCGGCACTTCATCACTGAAGCTATTCTGAACTTCTATATAATCACACGAGCAAGCAGCGTCACCACAACGTTCAAGATTATAGTCTGGTATTGTGAGCTCAACACGGTATCCTTGTTTCCCTATAATCTTCCAGCTACATGTCTGGTTGAATGGATATTTTCTTGGATTAAAGGGAGAGGAAAAGGAACCTGATGTTTCATTGAGGATCATATCTGTTGGGCACACTGGAAAGAGTAAAAGACTGCCAGCTTTAGTAAAATGCATCTTACTTACTATAAAAAACTTAATCGCCTCAAAGGTTGCATTGAACCCTTTGTTTACAAGGCTGGCCCGAGATTCAAATCTCACTTGAATGAAGTTTCCCTCGGAGTACACAGGAGGGGGAAGCTTTTGACCACATATCTTAAAAGTAATTAGGATTTCCTCCATGAGAGGCAACGTTTGTGATGAAGACTCGGGCTAAAGACTTTTCTACAGACTATAGCTGTTCAAAGATTGCCTACGTTATTATTTGCATGATATATTCAACATAATTCTCGCTCAGTTTAATAGGGGTACGTGCTCAGTACACTTGTATGCTTCCAGTTAATAAACTACCCCAGAAAATAAAGCTCTTACGTGAATCTCCATCTATCGCCTCAAAGCTTGCATTGAACCCTTTGTTTACAAGGCCGGCGCGAGATTCAAATCTCACTTGAATGAAGTTTCCCTCGGAGTACACAGGAGGGGGAAGCTTTTGACCACAGATCTTAAAGTCATTAGGTTTCCCTCCATGAGAGGCAACGTTTGTGATAGAGACTCGGGCACTATCTGCTGCCGCTCCAGCACAGTCATCTTTTTCACCTGCTACCAGGGTAAAGTTCAAGAAGGTCACTTTGATGATTTTCCCACGGGGTACCGTGATATTCCAGGTACAAATCCTGCTTGGGTCATAGTTGTCGGGAAAATTGGGGCTGGAAATGAGACCACTAGTAGTATTAATGGACTCTCCAGGAGGGGTGCAGGCTGAAAAAGAGAGAAGTTTTTATTCACTTTTTTTATATTTTTTATTACTGGACACCAAACAGTGTCAATGAAATAGGGTTTCAACGGGTTGATGGCTTTTACGGCTGACGGTTAAAATTGTGGCCATTTTACGGCTAACGCGTACGGTTAATATCATTCCATTTTTGGAGGAGAATTTTGTTTTTAACGGTTAACTTTGTATACGACTAACGGTTAAAATCTGTCAATTATTGGTCCTAACGGGTCAATTTTTTCGGCTGTTTTACGGCGATCGGTTAACCCCACTGAGACCCTCGTGAAACAGAAATGTTAAATACGTTTGATGAACACAACACGTGTTTATTCGTCCATATCGATTTTTACACGACCTACACGATTACTTTTCCCGCGAATCAGTTTACATAAATTACGCAAAATGATAAGTCACGTTATCATTTCCAAATACAGATTGCTGTAATAATTCTAAGTAAAATGTTCACTAGAAATACGTTTTCTTTCAAAAGAAGGCGAGAGTAACTCAGAGTGATCGTGGTGAGCGGCGAAAGTCTATCTGTCTCTTAAAAATATAGAAGTATGAAATAAGTTGAAAGTTGGGGCATGGTTGGTTTCGTAACGCGTCAAGACCAATTTCGTGCAAGAAAAATATAAATTGTATTGTAAAAAAGGATATTCTGAATAAACTTCACAGGGTACTCACCATCGGTCCTTGTGTATTCATATTTCGCCTCAAATCCACGATCAACTGTTTGTCCAGGATGGAACATCACAAACATTTGATTTCCAGTCGACCACTGAGGCTCATTCCAAGACGACCCTCGGCAAAATCGTCCCAGCGAAGGTGAACTTGTTGACCCACCATCATAAAGTTCCACATAAGAACAAGAGTCCGAACAAGGATTGGCTGAACACTCACTTAAGACAAAGTCAGTAAACGTAAACTTTACAATTTTGTCAGCTGGCGCGGTAATGTTCCAGGTACAATTTCTGGACGCAGTGTAGTTACTCTTTGGGTAGTTTGTGCTACTTATTTTGCCGCTGCCTGAGAGAGGAATTGCTTCCTTGGGACAAACTGTGTACAATAAAAAAAAAGCATGTGAGTGTGGGAGAAGAAGCATAGACTGTGTTGAAGTCCTAAATGTAATAACTTTCCTAAATGTAATAAAGTCCTAAATGTAATAACATTTGGTCCTAAATGTAATAAATCCCTAAATGTAATAACGTTCGGTCCTAAATGTAATAAGCCTCCTATGCAATCGTTTAACTGCGCTAACATTGAGATGTTAATGTGACAGCTGTTGCACCAAAGAATCCTCTGACCAATATTTATGGAATATTGCAGGCTCACTGATATTAATCAGCGGCTTTTTATTTGTTAAAGACGTAGGTTGGGAAGCATTGGCTATAAAACCTTATTCTAATACTGATGTGCTTTTGGCATCAAATTGACGGACGCAAAAGCAACGAGAACGTTGACTAATAGCTCTCTCCATATCATTGGCTCAGACTCTTAAGTGTAACAGATTTTGACGAAATACTTCTGTCCTCAGTGCTGAAGTTAACACTTGATGAACCAAATTACAAGGAAAAAGAAGTCCACAGACTTATACGTTAGACAAATTCTGGGCTCAGAAGGGCATTTTTTGTACTGTCTTCCCTTGCCAGATTTGTACGGGTTTGCATAAAATATATTCATATGCGTTATTGACCGAACGTGAGGTCAAAATGGCTATATATTGGCCGAGTTCTTTTTTTTTTGCGTTTTTATGGACTGAGACGAAGTCACGGTCCATAAAAAAGTAGAAAAAGAACGAGGCTAATATCCAGTAATCTTGACCATACAAGAGAGTTTATATTCTCTTGGCTTAATCATTAAAGGATTCATTGTATAGCAAAAGATTCCGCTTTGATAAGAATCAAGAATGGCCTGTTTATTTCGAGAGCCGATGGTGAAAGCCAACTGCGTTTGCAGCACAATAAACCCAAGAGGGTCGTTTATTTTTTCTATGTATATATGAAAACATTGTCCAAAAGTTACGAACTTTGTAAGTTTTCTTGCGTGGGATCAATACGGGGGATCCCGAACGGGCGAGGTGGGCCCATCATGCCCGCTCAGGTAGCCAATCAGAACACAGGATTCACTTCATCTTGACCGCGTGCGCTGCTAGCTATATGATAATGTGACTTGCAGAGCAAGATATCGACTGACCGATGATATGTTATCCCATTTCACGATCACAGGTCTCGACATGTTGCCTTTTTCCACGCAAGAGTCAAATTGAACCATTGAGCTACACCATTCAACACATAATGGTCAGTTGGCGGTCTAATGAACCATTCATTTTTTTTCCTTTAGCCCCTTATGACGGGTTCATCAGTTCCCGAACCGAAATATTAGGAAAATGTACATTTTAAAATTGATCTCAAGTTTATATTTCATTTTTTGTCTTCACCTCTTCTCCCCGCCGTGAGGGGAGAAAATGAATAGATAAATAGATGTATAGTCATATGACACATGAACTGATTACTGAGGTGGAGTAATGCCATAGAGGGCCGGAAATGCAACACTCCAGGTTCAAAATTGAATAAATCAGGATAGTCATTCTTAAAAATGAACTCAAATGCTTCATTAGAATCAATTGACACTGAATAATATTGATGTGCAAAATTACAATAACGCTACTGATAATAATAATTTTCTTTTGGATTAACATGTGACACAGCGAAATCATTCAAACTGCTCTAAAATGGTGCATTACTTCTAAAGACTTTAACACGAACGATAACATCAACAATAGCATGCTAGTTCATCATCAATTGTAGTCAATTTCTTTTCCAAAAAATCTTAATGGTTACGTACCAATCGATTCCATCCTATTGAGCTTCCAGCCAAGCACTAGCCCACTTTGGGCTGGAAATGATTTTCTTCAACTCGATCAATAAACCGCTATAAGGACCATACTTACTATTTATACTATTTCTAACTAGCAAGTAAAAAGACGCTGATTGATATCAGCGGGCCCATAATGTGACATGTATACTGGTCAGCGGTTTTTTTGAGCAACAGCTGTCACTAACATATCAATGTGGATGTCCGCCATGACAACAATGCACTGCAGGAGTTAAACGATTGCATTAGAGGCTTATAACATTTAGGACTTTATTACATTTAGGATCAAATGTTATTACATTTAGGACAGTTATTACATTTAGGACTTCAACAAGGCTGTTCCGGGCGTTCAGTTGGTAAAACGCAGTGCCATATTGAACTGCGCGAGAGTAACAGAGGAGTGAAAAAACGAGGGAGGGGTGGGTCATGTTGTGTAATCAACTTCTTCTTTTCCCGACTAGACCCAAACCTCACTCTCTTTTTTACTACGTCACTACTATTTTGCCTCTGTCTATTTCGCTCTGTTTAACTAACTAGAACTCTTGGAATAGGCCAGAATGAATATGGATTGGTGATAGATATATAGTTTCCTTCACAGATTCCGTCAAAATCTGCATGGTAAGAACAAAAAAGTGGCACACGAGGCGCATCCAAGTGTCACTGATGACCACAGTTTGACATCATCTGGCATCTCTTTCTCAACAGACACACAGCGATGTGGAATCTAATTGTTTCATATACGATGAAGAAGCAAATTGTTGTAAATGGTGATGTCATTTATGCCTCTGTTCTACAATAGGTGATAAATAACAACCAATAAAAATGCTTACCATATAACTGTTGATTCGACCAATGGTCAAAGTCTATACAAACCAAAGCGGCTCAAAACCATACCCTTTACAGTGATATATTCCAGTATGGCTTTTATAAGGGAGTAGCCCCAAGGCAAGAATATGAATATTTGAAACTCGTTACAATGATCAATTTACATTATCAGCGCAGTTAATGAAACCAAATTATCTTCTTATAATCCGCGACCGACGCAGCACCACAGTTTCTTTGGAAACTTACCACCTTCATTCAATTAAGGTTGGCATGGCTTCTCAGTACATCACTGCTTACACTATACATCAGAGATGTTTGAATTCACCTGGAGTTGATAACAGAGAGAACCTCCACTCTTAATAACTAAGCTCCTTATCATTACTTGGATTGGTGAGTTTATTGCATGTAAAATATTCTCTCAGCGAACTCTTAGATCTCACCAAGTTGTTTTCTCTACTTACTTGGAGGACTGTAGTTCAACAGCTTGTAAGTTGCCCCAAATCCGTCATAATCCATGTTTGTATCATCGGACACAAACACCACCCTCAAGCTTTCGTTCAGTGAATAAAACTTTATAGGAGGAAACCTAGGTGTGCCACATAGTTTTCCAGGTAGCGCTTTATCACTGAAGCTATTCTGAACCTCCATATAATCACACGAGCAAGCAGCGTCATCACAACGTTGAAGATTATAGTCTGGTATTGTGAGCTCAACATGGTATCCTTGTTTCCCTATAATCTTCCAGCTACATGTCTGGTTGAATGGATAGTTTCTTGGATTAAAGGGAGAGGAGAAAGAACCTGATGTTTCATCGAGGATCATATCTGCTGGGCACACTGAAAAGAGTAACAAAGACTGCCAGCTTTAGTAAAATGCATCTTACTTACTGTAAGAAACTTAATTTATTCCAAGAAAAATCTTAAGGAAGCTTCTTTTTCTCCGAAAACTGTTTAAGTTTTAATGAGGTTTACAGTCCACGGTGGTCAACTAGATGATTTTTAATACCGCCTACTAAGAGTAACAAAGACTGTGTCAGGCATCGAAAACTGGTTTAGTTTTGATTTTTACACTCCAGTGTGACTGGTTGATTTCCAATACCGCCTACAGCTCCTTTTCCGTATGTTGACGGGTTTAAACATAAATCAATGTAACCGACATGAAATATAAAGAGCTTGCGTCCGAGTGAAAGGCTTTAATACATTCAATTTTTTTTCTACAGACTATAGCTGTTCAAAGATTGTCTACCTCATTATTTTCAGGTTATACTCAACATAATTCTCGCTTAGTTCAATAGGGTACATGCTCAGTACATTTCTATACTTCCTTCATAAACTACCCCTGAAAAAAAAGCTCTTACGTGAACCTCCATCTATCGCCTCAAAGGTTGCATTGAACCCTGTGTTTACAAGGCCGGTGCGAGATTCAAATCTCACTTGAATGAAGTTTCCCTCGGAGTACACAGGAGGGGGAAGCTTTTGACCACAGATCTTAAAGTCATTAGGATTTCCTCCATGAGAGGCAACGTTTGTGATAAAGACTCGGGCACTATCTGCTGCCGCTCCAGCACAGTCATCGTTTTCACCTGCTACCAGGGTAAAGTTCAAGAAGGTCAGTTTGATGATTTTCCCACCGGGTACCGTGATATTCCAGGTACAAATCCTGTTTGCGTCATAGTTGTTGGGAAAATTGGGGCTGGAAATGTGACCACTTGAAGCATCGATGGATTCTCCTGTAGAGCTGCAGGCTGAAAAAGTAAGTATCTCTCAGTTACTCTCTTGGTTTCTTACTGCAGACAAAAGAATTCAAGCAAATAGAAATTGAAAATGTGTTGCAAACGAGCACCTTCGTTACCATATCTTTACTAAGAATGAGAATTCTAGTTGACTTAAACAAAGACGAAAATTGTTGATTAAAATGCAGACATGTAAGACGAACATTTATACTTACCATCACTTGTCACCAGAGTCAGGGAGGCAACTGCAACAAATACAAAGAACGAACATGTGAACACGTGTCTCAATGTAAGTAGTAGAAACAGTTCATCCCAGATACTAAAAAGTTTGAGGTCATCTGAACAATATCACCCGAGTGATATTGTTAAGATCGACAGCTCTAAAATGGTCTTTTCTCGCAGATTTTAAACAGGCTGCCTCAGTTAATTTCAAAAAGCGTCCCGAGCCGTTTCGTGCCTCGAAAGAAAACCAGAAAAGAATAGCGCAAATATCTAATCAAGTTGTCAGTATTTAGTCCTCTAGAATTTCTTCCAAAAAATTGACATAAGAGCATAGGAATGCTTTTAAGACTGTACAAGCTCTGAAAACCCCACTGCCACTCCACAGAATTGTCATTGAAAGAGCATTATAATTATTTCCCCAGTGTGTACAGCCACGCGTAGGATATGGATAAATCAGAGAATAATAAATGCATCTAAGTGTGTTGATCGTTTGGTGAAGTTTTTACTACTCATGTAATCAATGTGGTCATGCTAAGCTAGATGACAGTCTATATAAACACCTAGGTACTTGATTCATGAAGATTGCTCTAAACAAATGTTCGATATTTTTCAATGGTGGATGTAGATTTTGAATTTTCCTTTGCCGAGGTATAAAGATAATATCTATAGTTTTGGAAAGATTTGAGGTTAATTTATTACTACATTTATTACTATTCGTAAACAGTATGTAGATGGTTATTTATGCCATTTAATTGAATGTCGAGGTTGGTTCCAGAGACTCTTGGAGATGTATCATCTGCATATAATCTACTAGAAAAGTAAGTAGTTGACTTAGGGATAACATTGATATAGATAAGAAATAATAGAACTCCTAATATGGAACCTTAAAGTAAACCAGAGAAGACAGGATGGAAATCAGACTTAACGCCATTAACTTATAGACTTATTGTTACCTACTGCATACGTAAGATCTAAAGGAAGTGTTGGATTTGATGGTCAATTTTTTGATATTGAAGTTTCGAAACTCAGAGTTATCAATGTGAGTGGAAAAAGTATTCGTACAACCATTTGAAAATCATATTGATATCATACAAGAAACAAACGTAAAAGAGCGAATCTTAATTGTAAAAAAAAATTCCAATGTCGTAAATAACACCTTGCAAGAATCCGAGTACAGCGACCGAAATCATATGGTGAACCGTAGATGAAATTGTGTCGGTTTCGGATTTTACTGAATCTAGTATTATCAGGAATTTTTCGTATTTATGGCTCCTAGTGTAAAATAAAAAACTAGGACATAAAAGTCACCTGTTGGCAAAACTTCATACGTGAATCGCTATTCGCTTCAATGAATGCACAATCAAGAAAAAATGTTGAAATATACTTGCCGGCGTTGTCGTTATATTTTATCATCAATTGTTTATGTTAACTTCCTCTCGTGTCAGAAATAACTTATTCATCGAGTTCACGTTTTCTATTTGAGTGTGAGAATCAAATCTCCATTTGCGTGTGACGACATAAAACGATTTGACATTCCCTAAAATAAAGTATCCTAAGAATGCAAAGTATCTTTATTCATGTCTAAACCCATTCGGCGAACGGTCTATTATCAGTTTGGGCATGAATTGCTGAAAATTCTAACACGTTGAATTAAGAACCTTCTTTGAAAGGTATTCACTTGATCGATGAAAAAAAAGGGACCGCGAACTCTGAGCGAACCCGAGCGAAGAAGACAGCAATGAAGAAAGAACAACAATGCACGGAAGATCAAGTTAAATGAGATTAAATTAGCGATTAAAAGTCGGCAGACAGAGCAAAATCAAGTTCAGAATGATAATTCAAACTTCTGGCCTGTAAAAGCAAACAGATGGGACTTCTAGATGCATTTGTTGCACGAATGATCAGTGAAGTGAAATTTGCGTATTAATAATTCGCATGAAAGAATTCTCACTCACCACAAAATGTAATCAAGATCCGGGCTGAAATCATGACGGAGGCTGAAATCATGATGGTATCCAAACGTCTTGTTCTATTTTAATGGAGCTTGATCTTCTTCACGCTGAGGAATCGACGAGGTCGAAATCAACAGAGCGACATAAGTCAGTTGCGTTTCGTATTTAACTGCGGAAATATGGAAGCAAGCAGAAAGACAACAGACCGAATAAAAGCTAGTTGACGTCATTGATAAGTCTGCATCATTTAAATAAGTTTAAATAAAAGAAATGAAAGAGAAACGATGCGAGAAATTAGAGGGGAGGGGAGGAATCCCACTTGCCTCCTCTCCTCCCCCTCCCCACTAAGTCTCTCAACACAATGATTATGTTACTATTTTGATAAAAAGGAAATAAACCCCAGGAGATTTATGATTTACGTCAAAATAAGAAGGACAGCTACCTAAAGCGAAGCTACACTACACAAAGCGAAGCAGTTAAAATAAAAACAGATTTAGCAATGGCTTAGTGCCACAGAAATTCCAAAAATTACGTCTGTTTTCATGGTGACGAAAGTCCTCACTTGATCATACCGCTAAATCGTTGTTTTTGATAGTTTTGGCTCCGCACGGAAGCAAGACGTATTGATCAAATTCCCACAATAAACTTGTATATAGATGACGCTCGAATTCTTAGAATTTTGAACCCTGAGCTGATTTTTAACTTGTTAATATCTCGTATTTTCGCTTAAACTGATCTGAGGCAACTGATTAAATTTTTATGTGCGAGGGTAAGACATTAATTTTTTTTGTAAAATTCGCTGAGGGTAAGGGATCCTCGGGTGACACTTATCACACGACGTTTTTGAAGGCAATTCAAGATTGTAACCCTAATTGACTGTGTAAGCCCCTAAAGTGAGCAGGAGTCAGTGAGCTACGGAGGATATAATGAACAAAGAGATCATTTAGACCCGCGTGACATTGTTCAGATCGACAGCTATAAAATGGTCTTTTCTCGCAGATTTTAACCAGGCTGCCTCAGTTAAATTTCCAAAAGCGTCCCTAGCCGTTACGTGCCTTGAAAGAAAACCGGAAAAATAGCTCCAATATCTAATAAAACTGTAAGTATTCAGCCTGCTGGAATTTCTCACAAAAAAAATAAACTTAAGAGCATAGCAACTCTTTAAATGCTGTACAAGCTCTGAAAACCCCACTGCCACTTCACAGAAGTGTCATTGAAATTTATGAAAAAAGCTTCTGTTCAACAATTACCAACCAAAAAGAGACTTTACACAAAATTCATGAAAGCGAGAAGAAATGATATGACTTCCTGTTGGCTCCCGACAGTGCGTTTTTTAAACACCCTCCCCTCCCACTTTTCCCGTCCCAAAAATTGCGACACCAGGTTTCACAAAGTGTTCATCCGATCTCGAAATCTCGTTAGCTTTTGCCTCAATGACTTTCTTTCAGTGCTTTTCGTTTCAGTCTCAAAGTCTCTCATTTCTTCAAAGTCTTGGACTTGTTCTTATAAACGAGGATCTCTTTCAAAAGGCAGCGAGAGTAATGCGTCGATCAATTGGAAGCTTCAACATCTTCCCGGGTATAACCCAGGGCATTCGAACTTTTGAAAATTGATTTTTTCAAATCCTCCTCCCCCGCCGAGCCAAGATGGTGTTCAAATGTCTTACTCAAGTGCTGGATCTAATAGTCAATTTTTTAATACGAGGCAAAATCGGCGACCGTAACTTTCTTCTCATTGACCAAGCTTTAAAATTTATCAGTAACTTGTAGACCTCTTCTTCTGAGCCATCCGCCCGCGAACGTGAACTCTTTACCTGTAACACCCTCTATAATAAGAGATAAAACCTTGTCTTCCGCTGGAAAGACTTGTCACTTTCGGTTCAAATTCCCCTCCCCGGGGACGGACGACAGTCAAATATTCTCGGGTTACC